TTTTCTATGTTCACGCGTACAGGTCATATGATCGTCAGCTTTGTTTTTAAAAATGGAAATTTATATTGTCTAATGCATTACTTGATGCTACTGGTTATTCCCTACATAAAGTACCAAGTTACTTATGGCGAATTAGTGCATTAAAAAATATACGATTCTATTTAAACAAAGTTAACATTCATATGACCTCTATGCATCCACATAGAAAAAGGTTACTCACATCAGAAACTGTACCTCCTAATCCCATTTAACTTTTTGTCCAAAATATTTATTAATACCGTCAAGTTTGGACGATATTCGAGTGGGAAGATGTAAATGGAACACCCTGTACATACTAGTATATAAAATGTGTAATTTGCATGAACTTCCGCAGTCTAGTAACCATAGTCAGATGAAAAACTTGTAATAGATACTAAGTTAAGTTACGTGCAACTATCACTGTATTCCGTAACATAAAACCCGCGAGTTGTAATAGTGCGATGCGCGCGCGCACACACACACACACACATATACACACGCTTGACTTATTCCACTTCCTCGACAATAATTACTTCCAGATACATCAGGATGATCTTCCCACAGATCTGCCTAATAAACCCGGGGCTCGTACAGGATTCGTTTAATCCCTTTAAATTACACGACTACAAAATCAATTTCACGCTTCGACAAGGCATCTTCTGCTCGGGCAAGTGTATCACCGATTTCATCTCGACCGTTCGCTTAACCGGAATCGCTCGCTCTCTTACAGGCTAATCCAGCTACGTTCCATCATAATTACTATCGTCTTTCACAAAGCATGATTGACTCGTCATTCAACGGAATATACACGCGATACTCAAGCGCCAAGCTGCATGTATTAGGTGAAGCGATAAATGAACAGTTTACAGGTCAAAGCGACTAACTCAACCTTTCGAATTTTTTTTCACATTTTAGTACCAGAGCAATTGATTAGTGCTTAACTTTTTATACTTTTCATACTGTTCATACTGTTCATACATTTCATACTTTTTATACTTTTTATACTTTTTATACTTTTTATACTTTTTATACTTTTTATACTTTTTATACTTTTTATACTTTTTATACTTTTTATACTTTTTATACTTTTTATACTTTTTATACTTTTTATACTTTTTATACTTTTTATACTTTTTATACTTTTTATACTTTTTATACTTTTTATACTTAACGGGGGCAATTAACTTTTGTTCAACTCGTTTCACAATGGGCCCATATGGTCCATATATATTTTATATGTATAATATTTTCCCATATGGCCACGCTAGGTTTTAATGGGTAAGAATGATGTAAAACGTAATGCGCACAATTAAAAATTTCCATGACAAATAAAATCGACATCCCCATTGCAGTTGTCTTTCTGGTATGACGAAATATTTCGTTAACTCATACTCTTTATACTGTTTACACTCTATATTTTTTATACTTTTTATATCTGTTATACTTTTTATAGTCTTTATACTCTTTATACTCTTTATACTCTTCTACTTTTCATATTTTTTATACACGCTGTATTTCCTAAAAATGAGATCTGAAAAAATAGTAAAATAGCTTCAGCAAAAACATTAACATGACTGTATATTGCAATATTCATTTGGTCTGAGAAGGTCAGAATATAAATGAAGATGTGTGTAAAAGACTGATACCAAAAAGATCGCATAATTTCTTTGTAAAGCAAAATTTTAAAAATGCTAAAAAATAATACTCTGGGCTAGAGTAAAACCCTCAGAACCCCTTACAAAACTGTACTACTCCAGTGATATTCATTCTGGTTGCTGATCATCTTCCACCATTTTTACCAAATAACGGACTAGAATATGTTCGAAATTCAAATTACATTAGGTTTACTCAAACAAAATGATGGATCACTTATGGGTACACCTAATACAACCATGGACATGTAAAAATAGACTGCGCATTTCTCTGAAAAAGAGCATCCCAAGTTTAAAAAGAGGTAGATAGCTTTCGGAGGACTTGGCATCTCTTTTTAAATCTAAGTGGCGGGGAGTGAGGTTCTAGGGGTCTGGGTTTTGATCAAAAGTTTCGAATAACGAATAAAAGATGAAAAAAATATTTCGTAATTTTTTTACGATTGCACGTGGTGATTCCAATTTTTAACATAAAATAATATTTCTTCATGAATGAGTAGACACTTTGCAAACAATTATTTAATCTCATGAACTCTTTAAAGGTAAGGATGACGATCTTAGATACTGTTGCTTCTCACTATGTAGGTATTATTTGAATAAAATTGTGCCTATCCTTGGTTTTGATTGGTTAACTCAGTTATATTAGGAAGAGATAGCAAGTCCTCCGAAAGCAATGAATAAATGAACACAGCTCACTGGATATGAAACAGCGTTCAGCTTGTCTAATACGCCTTCGACTATCATCAAACAAAGAATCTGAGGTTATTATCGAGAAATGTGGATGCTTTGTCACTGGGCCACGATGAAAGTGCCCCGACTGGGCTGACCGTGCGTTGCCTCGACACAGCATTTAATTGAAGCGATTAAAAGGCATCCACGGTTCTTCATGGGTCCGTTCGTTAATCATTGGAGGAAGTCGTGGGTGTGCTCGCTAGGAAGGAACGTATAATCATCGCCTGGGCTGGAAGCTTCCATCAGCTACGGAGAGACCCGGAAGAGGCGATCCTGAGGAGATACGTCGATTTCTAATCTGGGATAAGCCGGCAACCTTCGGGTGAGACAAACATGCTTCTCGAGATTCTTATCAGAAAGTACAATTCCCCCGCTCCCCTTTGTTCATTCATGTGTTATGAGTAGACAGCAGATGTTTATGCATTTATAGCGTCCCCTGACTTGCGAAACGTAGCAAAATAAACGTTCCGATAAAATTTAATATTATTTACGCATTATTATTAACATATGAAAATTGCTAGTACAGAAAAGAAATTTCTATGGAATTTTGTCTTTTCTATTTTAGTGTCAAAAATGATAAATTTGCATAAATATCAAGGATCCAAATTGCTAGAGTAGCAGGATAATACTGTTTCACAAATTTTAACATTTTTCCTACCTCATAAACGGCAATGAGCTGAATATGAATTTGAAAACCATTTTTTCCTAGCACGCCCAGTTTTAGAAACAATCGTTTTTAAAAATTATTGTAAATTTTCAACTTTCGAGGTATGTTGTGGTTTTACAGTAATAGTTCTCAGTTGCTTATAACAGAAAATAATTCTCTGGACTCTTCGGAACAAAATTATATAAATTGTTATTTATTATAGGCATCTGAATATGTGTAAATAATGGCCAAAGTGAAAAGAACACCGAAAACGCACCAATGTTTGCTGATGTACAAACAATTTGTTTCAGAAACTAAGGGTCTAGGAGAAAATCTAATTAGTTTCTGAAACAAATTAAAGACTATCAGCAAAAATTAGTGCTTTTTCGGTGTTTTTCTCATTGTGATCATTATTGAAACATATTTAAATATCTATAATATAATAACAATTTACATCATTTTGTTCGGGAGCGTCCAGAGAATTATTTTGTGTCAGAAGCAACTCAATAATTATTACTGTAAAACCACAACATACCTGAAATTTTGAAAATTTGCAATTTTTTGAATTAGATTTTTTTCAAAAACAGGACGTGCTAGAAAAAAATAGTTGGAGATTCGTATTTAGCTCATAAAGATCTATCAGTACAGTATTCGAGAATATATCGATGGAACCGAAGTGTTTTGTCGAAAATGCTTTTTCAGCTTGGAAATTCAGTTGAATTTCTGAATTGGCAAATGTAATATTGCCACATGCACTGTCTGGCCGAAAACTTTCCAAATGGAAATTAACACGTTCACTGCCATGTATAACAAATATGTACAATGTTCGTGGTGTTCAGAATTATTGATGGTATACAACTGATAATTTACCAATTTTCTTAACCAGTTATGTAATCCCATTTTCGAATTATTGAATTATTTACACTCACACAGTACGTAATATAAGTAACAAGGAAAGACGTTAATATAAAATATTAATAGTAAAATTGTATTATGGATAATTAACAATGTAAAAACATATTCTCTATGCTTTTTAAAATGCAATGATGGTGGTATTACATTAATATGAATATAAACAAATATCAAGATTAACGAAGAAAATACCAATGTAAATATTTCAAATGTTCATAACTTCATTATGTACATCCAATTACCATGTAATAAAAGAATGTGTAATTCCATGGCACTGACAATGTCAAGAAACGTGTTCTTCAAAGTAAATCTTCTAGTATGTTTGTACTATATTTATCCTTCAAAAGTACTACTTACGTGTTTTCGTCTGTATGTATGTTTTGATAAAAAACCAAATTTGTAAAACTATTTTTATATTGTTATAGAGTTTCATGTTGTTATATTTGAAGTATAAATATATTAGATATAACAAAATATATGTATAAATAAATATTACACAATATAATATATGTGAATATATGTTGCATGTGCATTTCTTTGTAAATTGTGTTTTAATTAAGTTTATATACCAAACGCTAATTAGTATTATCAATATTAATTTCGATAACATTGCATTCACATTTTGTAGCAAATTACAACTACCACCACAACAGAAAATATTAAAGCGGAATGTTACTGTTGGGACATTTTATGTGGCATTGCATGAAATATTAGATATACATATATATTATTACATATTATATAAGTTAAATAAAACTATGAATAAACATCATAGTTTGTTTCTGTAAGATAACATTAAATATAACGAATTTGCACATCTATCATTTTTTCAGAATAAAACAACCGTCACTGAATTATGTAAATGTTAATGTACTTTATACGTAGCCAACCAATGTAAGGCTCCACTGCAGAATAAATTAATATAATTGAAAATTCAAATTCAAGAATATGTAAATTAACCAACAGGAATTCATGCCAAAGTATTGAATAAAAATTGATTTCTACACGAATGTATTCTATGTTATAAAATTCGTATGACTTACCAGTGACACTGATCGTTGCTGAAGTTTGAATCCCAAATCTTCCTTCTCGTCGCCGCAGTCAGTCGTATAGAACAGCACACTTTTCTTCGATCCTCTGAAACCAACCCTCGTTAATACATATGTTTCTATGACAGAAGTGTGGGACAGCTGCGTTTTCTCGTTTTACAGCCGTACGCATCGCGATTGTATGTTAGGGAGACGCATCTGTTTCGTTAACAATCCGCTCACAAATTGTCAGTCATAAATTCGGAATTTCGTTACACCCCGATAAATAATCTCGTAGGTCCGAAGGTATTATTCTTTGGATTATCGTCAAATCGATAATATTTCGGTCCATTCGTAATTATGTAATATCAGCAGTTACTAATGACAATTTAAATAATAAAAGAAAATAATACGAAAATGGAAAAAATAATATTTCAGGTTGCTTTTTATCGATTATTTAACGTCCATGAACCACTGCACCTATAGTTATATATAATACATAATGTTAGAACTGATAATCTAAATGATATTAACAATGTAATAATAATAATAAAAATACTATGAAATGGAAAGAATAAAATTTGAGATATTTTATCTACAGTATTACTAGATAATGTTATATAACACTATAAACACTACTTTACTTTCTTAACTAGTATTAGAACTTGCTATTCATGATTTTAATAATGTTAGAAATACAATAATAATAGCAATAAAAATAACATGAAAATGAAAAGAATAACATTTCAGATTTTTGTATCTATAGCATTAGTATGTAAAATTATATAACGCTATAAAGAGTATTTTCTTTTCTTTATTAGTGTCAGAAGGTATTTTTAATAATTCAAATAATTTCAAAAACAATATGACAATATAATGATATAAACAATGGAAAAAATGAATTTTAAGATAATTTTATGTATACTATAGCTACCTATAATATTACAATTTGTAATATTACTACATAATGTTTATAGTACATATAACGCTATAAAGAGTACTAACACTTAATTTATAATTGATATTCGTGAGTGAAACGTTCTTTCAAAACTAAAGTGTCAAGGAGTAAATATTTAAAATCCAAAACAAAGTTTTCATTTATACTATAATTGTGAATCAAGTTAATTTTGTCGTTCCGTCTTTTATATTTTTATTAACTTTATTTTATGTCCTTAAGTGTTTCTTATCGAATGTGAATTAAAAATTTGATTACTTCCTAGCAGGTTCTATATCATAACTCGTTTTGAAAGGATGCAACTCTGAAAATCTTGAGTTATCGATAGACTGTGGACTTTTATGCAAAATTAGATTTTCTAAACTAATTCACAAAGACAAGAGAAAATATATAAATTTCTTCCTTCTCTTACGTATCTTACTTAATTCAGAATGAAATCGAAAACTCGTTTCCTTCGATGAATTTTTAATTTTTTAATTGTATTTCACAGAACCCCGTAGGGTATAAATACATAAAATCCGCAGTCTAGTTATCGAAGTTCAGAGTCCACACCACCACACAATATAACAACTCGAATCAACGAAAAATACGTCAAGTGTATTCAAATAAGTTCATACCAGAAAACCGTTTAGGAAACTAGCCTGAAGGATCAACCAACGTATGAATATTTACAATAATTACACTGGTGCACCGTGCAATCAGTCCAAACAAGGTTCACCCAATAAAGTGTGATAAAAAGAGTTCACCCAAGAAAAGAAGGTTGACTAACAAGGAACGAGAAATTAATTGGAAGCAATGCCCGCGATTGGCAGTCTTTTGGATTTCTTCTCTTCAATTACGAGCGATAAATCAGAGCAGCGCAACGTACGAGTCTTCCCCTCCACGCCTCCCCTAAGTTCTAAGCAATTAAACCAGTACTGTCCCCCCAGAAGGGTCCCCTTACGCAGCTTTCCTCCTTCTCTGAGGTGCCATTATTGTGTTTGCGGAGACCACGCGCAGGTAACGTATTAGCCAACATTTCTCAACGGTATATACCAACGGTGACAGAATAAGGGGAAGCGTCGTAAGTGGCGGTGGGTTTGCGAGTAGAATTTCGAACACGTTTTTGTTCTGAACATCTTAGGAGAAGTGAACACAGTTCAAGCCCAGTCTTGGTCACGGTGTTAAACTCCACCACAATTGGGGTTATTTAGCGAAACTTATTTGTTTACAAAATATTAATTACTTAAATTATTTAATTACACGTCCCAATTATTGCCACCTTAAGATTGTAGCGTAACTCCGTTTAATCATTTTGTGTGTTAAACCTAAAAATCGTCTCAGTTTGTAATATAATATTATTTAGCATGTCTGTCAATCAGAAAATAGTTTCATATATTAAATATGAAGGGTTAATTAATAATTAATAAAAATCTGCGAGCAAACCCAATGTCCCTATCCAGATAGCACTGTACATCCAAAGTACGTCCGTTTCATGTCCAGTTTATATCCGAATGTCCTACGTCCATTTTAGATATACCTAGGATCTTCTAGAAACGTCTGTCCCAAAAATTTTACGAATGTTCTCCACACTTAAATTTCACGTGTTCTAGGAAACCAATAATATTTGTTTCAGCCGCATATAACCATTACTTTATGAAATATTTAATGTTCAATACCGAGGACCCTTCGAACATTCATAGAGGATTTACTCTAACGACAAAGTTCAATGTTAGATGTCTGTCAGTTCCATAAGACCAATAAGAGATTACGGTGCTTTGGCTCAAGCCTTGTTCACGAGAAAAACAAACCGATAAAATGGTCCGTCCGACGAGACGAGTCAGTTAAAGTAACCAAAACATTGGTGTGCTAAGTCTAGTTATTGATTGGTGACTGTCTCTGTCTCTGTCTCAATTACATAAATGATCATCACTTCTCTTTGTTTATAGTTACTGACAAGGAGTGTATTTTAGGTGTCCGCCTCCGATTGCTTTGGTTTTCGGATATGTTTTAGAGGACCGAAAAATAAGAGATACGTATTTTTTTATAGCGGCCCGTTTTCATATTTAGGGGGTGAAACCACCCCTCAAAGTTTCGACCCGGAAGTACTATCTCGAAAACCAGAGGAGATACATGAAAACTTCTAATGGACGAGGTCTGCGGTTTTTTATGTAGAATAATATGGTGCTAACAAATTGTCCAAAATATAATTTGTTTATAACAACAAAATTTCGGATAGAAATTTCGAGTGGTGGTTTCACCCCTTGAAGTCGCGTCTCAGCCGATAAAAAAAATACGTGTCCTTTATTTTTGACTGCTTAACAGACATACGAAGTTTCATCAAAATCGGAGGGGGACACTTCCGTGCCTTCCCTTGTGAGATATACACGTAGTTTCCTCCAAAAAGGTTCTCAAAATGATATTTTTTTGTTAGAAACAAATTGTACTTTTGACAATTTGTTAACACCAGTTTATTATACATAAAAAACCATGAAAGCCACCAATTGAAAGTTTTCATGTATCTCCTCTGGTTTTCGAGATAGTACTTCCGGGTCGAAACTTTGAGGGGTGGTTTCACCCCCTAAATATGAAAACGGGCCGCTATAAAAAAATACGTATCTCTTATTTTTCGGTCCTCTAAAACATATCCGAAAACCAAAGTAATCGGAGGCGGACACCTAAAATACACTCCTTGTGAGTTGACTTGTTGGATGACTTATAATTCGTTATTGTACTGCGTGTGGGCCTTTGATATGCTAATTCTCGTTGAGAAACTATCTACCCTCGCGAGCAAACTGGGCATCCGCTTATTCCAAGTACTGAAATAACTGTTAAATCGAACGTTAATTTAGCAATTCCTGTAATTCCCGATACCAACTGGTAGGAGGCTCTTATTTCTACGTTACCTTTTCCTCTAGTGGAAGCCGAGTTTGCTCGTGGGTGTACAACGAAAAGTGCCCTGAGAAACCCCTATTAGAGATTCCGTCGCGACGGAGGCTTCGAAAATATTCAATCCTTGTAAATCCTTCTTCAGCAAAGTGTACGTATTTCTTTAGTAAATGTCATATAGAAAATAAAAATGATTCCCTTTTTACTCTAGATGAAACCGTTTTCAAGTTACCCTGCACACCTATTAGGTGTCCATTAAAAAACAGTCAAACTGAACACCAGCGTAGCCCTTTTGTTCTAAAAAACCAAAACAATTTGTCCGCGTACCCGAAGATATGTACAATAAATGTCTTTTAATAGATTTCCCATTTCCTTTATTATTTTTGCAAAAAAAATTGCCAAAAGAATATATTTTAATTTTTGGGCTCCAGAATGCACTAACCCCTTGAGGAAACAACAACTATGAAAGACAAGCGTTGATTGCTTCATGTAACGTCATTGGTATCCCTAATTCAAATAATACAGCAAAAAGCTTTTGCCCGGTACTGTACTTCGGACAGCATTGAATTAAACAGCGAACTTCTAATATCGTACGGTAGCATCGGGCTACGTTTATGATAATCTCACCTAAGTGCCTTCCCATTCCGGTTGAATGACTGATGCACACCGAGCACAGGCGAATCGGCGTAGCAACGACTCTCGTTCATAGCGTCGACAGCGACATTGCAACCTACGTTAAGTTACTCGCCACGCTGACATCTGAAACAGAAGACAATAGACCCTGCGCGTCAGTACGTCTGTCCCTTATTTGAACTGATACTATAACCCTTAGACGGCGGTATCTGGGTTCATTTTCATCTCAGAAATTGCAGACATCGTTCCAGCTTACAGAAACGAACTGAAATGTAGGGGAAAGGTGTCTAAAACTATCCCTTTAAGGCGTAATTTATATAAAAAATACAAATGCTGATTATTTAAATAAAAGTAAAGTAGTTTTTGTAAGTTAGTCTATCTATCTTATCAGTGGCTTAAATAAAAGTTAGCTATGTGATTAATTATATTTTTGATTCACATTTCTTTGAAGGCATACTTAAGGATCGTTTTGTAATGTATGTGTATAAAATGATCCCCTATATAATATGATATAAATAATAAATAATACTAATATCCCGATATAAATGATGTGTATAAATGATATATATATAAAAGAAAAATTGTTCAGAATGATGACCTTGACAACGTATTTCAAGGTTACTGAAATCGATAAGGTGGACTTCTGTATAATTATCGTGAACTTTTATAAAAATTTCTAAAATGTCTTAACAGAAGTAAAGAAATTTGTTAATTTATCGATTTCAATATTTTCAACAAGCTTTATCTTTTACAAAAGTGAAAGAAGTAGGAACGAGTTCACTTTCGGTAGTTCTAGTGTTAAAGTATAAATGTTTAAAGTCAGAAAGATAGTTAAAATATTAATATAATATATCGTTATTTCATATAAAAATCTATATCATTTTCTGAAGTTTAATTGTTGCCTTAAATGAAAATATAACACATTTGGAGTGAAAAAAAATAATGGTTCCGGCCGGGATCGAACTGGCGACCTTCTGCGTGTAAAGCAGACGTGATAACCGCTACACCACGGAACCCCGATGTTCGCTAATAGTTTAATTTGAGAATTCTTGAGTTTGAACGAAAATATAATATATGAAACTTATAAAAAATAATTAATAAATTACATAATATTTTGTTATACTTTGTAAGGTAACAGTTAACAATTCAATCGGTATCTCCGATTTTCTACAAACTTTAATATGTTGATTGATCATTTGAATGCAGTATTTGTAAAAAGTTAAATTCGTTTGAAATAATTAAGATATTTAAGGTGCTTACGTTAGTTGGGACACCCTGTATATATTTTGAATTTACAGAATACCATTAAAATATTATATATGAATACAATATACGAATTTCCAATCTACGAAATTCCATCTAAATTGCTATCCACTTGACCAAAATTTCATGCGCAATTTTTTATATTATTGATCGTTATTATTTCATCACATCTGTTCCAGGTTTCTTTAAAGGAGACATTCTCGTTGTTGCAAAAGTAAATATGAAAAATGACGGTATGAAGATTTCACTTGAAACAGCTGTGATGCAGGCACAGGTAAATTGCAGCCATTAAAATCATGTACGTATTAGGGCTCAAGAATTCAGTAACTGGTTGGATAACATAATTGGTTGAAGTAGTCACGCGACAAGCGAGGAATCCAGGTTCGAATACCAGTTCAGCAATATGTTGAAACGATTCCTCTTCTTCAGAAAGCTTTAGAAATCAGATCATTTTCAGGTTTTACACTTTGTTTTTATGATTTTAGGAATTTAGGGCTTTCATGTGTAGTCTAGAATAATCACATATACTGGGATGGGAGGAATTATATTTCAGATTGAAGTTATTGTACTGTAATTAGAAAACAAAAATTTTATTTTTCTCATATAAAAGGAAGACTTAACTTAGAAACATTCGTTGTAACAATATTTGTTCCCCCAAAATGAACAGTTCTTTCTAAATATTTTTTTGTACCACTTAAAATAATCAAGATTTAAACATTAAGGATTATTGATAAGATATATAACGTAAAGTCTTTCATCTTTTCAATGTTTTCCACGTCTTTTTCAAATTTCATAAATAGGAATGTTAATAGTGTAAGTTCATTTAAAAATCTCAGAACCTATGTAATGTCACAGGGTTGTAAACTGAAAATTGTTCCTAAACAATTCTAAACACATTTAATACTAAAAATAAGTAAAATCTGCTCAAATCCCCCTTAAATAATTAATTGAACATCCAGTGTGGGGTTGCCATCACTAGAAAAAAGTCCTAAAAACTTAAAAATTCTTAATATTAGAACTAAACAATATTCTGCTCAACTTAGCTTTGAATAATTAAGTAAATATCCAGTGTAGGGTTACAATCACTAAAAATATTCCAAAACAATTCTAAACATACTTAACACTTCGAGTGCACACACCCCAAAAATTCTCAGAAGATGCGCATGGGAAATAACTGATCCCAAGTGATTTAAAACTCGAAATATCACCTAAACTATGGACTTTCCGTAAAAAGATATACAATAATTTTTTGAAGTTTAATGTTTTGTACTTTCAGGTAGAATAGTTGAGATTAAGGAAGAAATTAATTAATGTAAGAAGAAAGGGAAAGACAGTGAGGATGTTTTCAAAAATCGAGGTTTAGGTCAAACTTAAAACTGGGTTCTTTTCTTCCCCTAATACACTTGAAATGTTAATACCATAAATAATCAAAGTTCTGCTCAAATTCGCCCTAAATAATTAGGCAAAAACTAGTGTAGGGCTGCAATTACTAAAAATATTCCTAAACAATTCTAAACACATTTGATACCAGAAACAAGCAAGTTCCCATAAACAATCAGGTAAACGATCATTATAGAGCCACGACAACTAATTAAGTTATAAAATATCCAACATTCTTTATTCGTTGGGCAGAAATGATACGTAGGCTGCCTACACACCGCTTACAATGAAATACGAGTTAACACTTCGCTGTTTGCAGAGGTGTTTCGAGAGGCGCCAGGGCGGTCTCGGATCTCTCAACCAGCAAGTCACCATCGACTGAACACCAGCGCACCACTATAACCATTCGTAAACGTATTAAGTAACCGTCCGGTTGATCTGCATAAGTTATGCACGAGAAAGTTCATTCCTCCGCCCATTGCGATACCTATGCCGGGTTCTGACGAGAATGGACCTCGAGGATACCGCGAGGGAAAAGAAAAACAGCTTCTCTCCGACGTACGCTGATATATGAACAGTTAAAAATTTATACCACTAAAGCGTCTCGAAGACGTGGGAGCTTCCGAGCCAATGGATGCTGCGCTTAGTCACGTGAGTCACGTGACGTGACTCGTAAAGGCGGAGCCGCCACTTCTAACCTCTAAATCCCGCAATCCATTCAGGCCCATTCGTCTCAACATACAAGAGTACAGTCTACCGCAATAATATTTTCCAGTTAAATACTCGAAATTTAACATTTTTTCGATGTTTTGTCTATTTCTTCTGGTCTTTTAGTGATTATAGGTGACTATAAGTAACTATAAGTAACTATAAGTAACTATAAGCAACTATAACCAACTATAAGTAACTATAAGTAACTATACGTACAATAAGTAACTAAAAGTAAAATAACATGTATTAGACAAAAGTGAAGGTAATATTCCAATCTATACGTAACACTTTTAGAAAAACCTTAAGACTGATGTTATATTCGTTCAGCTTCAGTAGTTCGAAAAATGTCCCTTGACACTTGCTAGTGCTTTATTTGTATTTACTATTACAGGGATATAAAATGATTCTTCCTTAACACGTTAAGCGTTGAATTGATTTTGTTGACATTTTCGCCCGCGTCACGTAATGCCATTAATAATTAGTGTAGGTCTGTCAATTATGTCGCCAATTATACAACAAACTGGAAGACTGGCTAAAATCAGGAATTTTGCAAGAAATGTTAGGAGGACAATACAAACGATTTGGAAAGAAAAGTGCTAGAAATTGGATTATGAGAGTACATAAACAACAATCCATAATGGAATGGAAAATTTCATCCCTGCTTAAAATATTTTAACAAACTCCATTAAAAGAACTGTTTTATTATTGTATTATATTCACTGATATTACTAAAAATTAGGTTACATTTCTATTGTTTTCATAATCTTACTATTTTTATTATTAACCCTTAGATGACGGACAGTTTTTGATGATCGAATAGACGGCGGTACCTGGGACCAGATAGATCTCCAACTTACCCATCTTCACATGCGTTTCGGAACGAATTCGTTTAAAATATGCTAGCTTTCTTACAAAATAGAAATAATAAACAACTGTACGCAACCTGCAGTTTCTGTACACTTGAATAGTGTATGAAATTTTTGAAATCCTGGGTTAAAATGAACCCAGAACCATCGTTCGAGGGTTAACACTGGAACTACCAGCGCTGAATATATACTAAATTAAATTGTATAATACAATAAAATACAGAATATCTTGCATAATGTACCATAAAATAAAATCTGTAGAAAATTAAAAGCCAACGTAAATTCCGTCAAAAGCACCATTATAATTTCAGCAATGGTAAAATAGTAAATCTGTAATCCGTCATTTTGACGGGTTTGGTAGTTCTATTTTTAAATACCAAAGTAAAGAGTTTTCCAATAACAACGATATGATTTTACAATGAAATAAAATAAAAACTATTTTAGATACAACGAAACTTTTTATATTATTTTGAAGTAGAGTTTATTACATTATGTTTTGAATAACACATCATTTAAGTGTCCACCTCGACTTCGTGCACAGGAGTAAATTCGATGAATCCAATTTTCGATGACTTTGTGCAATAACTCGGGTCTAATATCACGAATGCAGCGTTCGATGTTCCATCTTAATGCATCAAGGGTTCGTGGTTTGTTTGCGTAGACCATAGATTTCAAATAACCCCACAAAAAGTAATCTAAAGTAGTTAAATCACAACTTCTTGAAGGCTAACTAACAGTTGCATTTCATGAAATTATCCTTTCATCAAACTGTTCTTGCTATACGTCGATAGTGGCATTAGCCACAAATAATGTTCTTGAAGCGTGTATTTAGCTATGATATATTGTCATAGTATACTAAAGACAAATGACAACTAGTGACAGTTATAACATTTTAAACATGG